TTGATATTAACGATATCTTTACTGGGAGGGAAATATCCTATGTAATGATGAAGAAATCAAATGCAGAATGCTGTAAGATATTAATAGGGGTGGAGGAGCAATTGGTATGGTTTTACAAAGTCTTACATTGGGAGAGGGCGAGTTGAAAAAATCCCGAAAAACTGCTAACGTTATTGTGTTACCCTTGTATTTGATACTTGTCAATTTTTTTTCTGAAATAATCCCGAACTGTGGTAAAGCAAGCAATTATTGTGCTGTGTTTAACCTAAAGATATATCCGGAAAACTTCGAGATTTGGGCGTAGTTGCTATTGTAAACAAATATGTCAATCGCTGATTTCATGCGAATTAAAGCTCAATCTCGCGAACAAACTATTCCAAATAGCACAGGAATCATTCCTCTACATGAGTGTGTTGTTAGTCTTCTTGGCTGAGTTTTTATTCGCGAAAAATCGGTGATTGAAGTGTTTGTTTACTAAAGCAATTACGCCCAAATCTCAAATCACTCCGGATTTAATGACTTGTTCAACAGTTCAACGTTTTATTACTTAGCAATAACACCTTTAGCTAGCATTTTTTATTGATTTTTACGGATCTCTTGATACTTGGGCTTCGGCAATGTGGATACGATATGCGGTCAGCTTATTGGAGCTCATGCGTCTCGGTATCCGGAAAAATAAATAACTGCAAAATCTCTATCCATTAATAAGCATTCGTGACTGCAGGTAGTACGAGTTCATGTAGATATGAATTCTCACAATAATAATTTCTGGCTATGATCCGATTGTAGAACGCAGAATAAGACTTTTCCTTGATACAGCACAGCTATCGCCTAATCCGTAATTTTGGAAGAGGAATGACCGTCATAACCGTATTTACGCTCGAAAGGAGATGACAGTCAATTTATATGTCTGTTTATTTTTCCTCGGTGATATGATGGTACATGCCAGATGTTTGCGAATCAGTGAGAAATGCAAAATAACGATATCTCACGGTTGTTGTGTCATACTGGTGATTGTTTAGAATGTTTACCGTAGGAATCTCTTTTGTCAATCTAAAGGCTGTCACTGGTGGCAAGTGCAATCATACTCTATGCCTAGGGAAGTTGAGACATTTTCCAACACGAAACATTCCTAGACCGGACCGGGAATTGAACCCAGCCACCTCCAGCATGGTCTTGCTTTGAAGCTGCGCATGTACCGACTGACCTAAGGGAGGCAATTACGCTCAAATCTCAAATCACTCCGGAAACAACTGTAAATTTGTTTGTAGACGCCGACTGCGGTGCTAGAATGCTGCGAAGCTGTTCGACTTCAACAGAAAAAGAACGGTATCAGTCTCTTCGTCGCATTGATTTTGTCAATTGATGCTTATATTGTGACGCCCTGGTTGTTCTTCATTACCCGAATGTCCACTTCCCCGAATGAGATTCTACCTTCTTTTGAATGCTGCTCGTTTTTTCACATTTGGGTTAAAGGCGTTCAGGGAAAGTGACATTCGGGGTTACGGCATGTTTGTCAGTATCTTTGATGGCATAATAAAATACAAACCAGAAAGCTACACTTGCTCACTGCACACTGAATAACGTCAAACAATTACCACACGCTCAAAGCTTCTTTTGGCTTTATTACGTCCCCACTGAGGCTTTTCGCCGGCTTTCAATTGGATTCTTTAGGGGATTGAGGTAAATGCATATTCGTAATCTACATTAAAGGTGGGACCGAAATTCAAAATTTATTCATTTTTGGTGCACTGGAACTATTTTAAATAAGTGCTATTACGTTAGCAAAAATTACTATATTAGCACCCCTACGGAAAACTTTTGTATGGGAAAAAGCTAAGTTATAATTATATTGATCTAAAAAACTAGATGAAAGTCTTTGGGTTCGAGAAAATATCGTGCTCAGAAAACGAAGCTCTTTCAGACGATGTATAAAAACCGATTAATTTTTCAAATTTAAAGAAATAAAATTAAGTGTAAGCACTTGCACGCACAGCTGTAAATTGAGAACTTTTTTAGGCTGTACTATTTATGCATTAGTATATTGTGCGGCAAGTAGTCTTGTAAGCGGTCGCCGTAGTCGACACATTTTCTGTGATAATCGACTGCCTCTGCTTCCGACCATTGCAAAACAAGCTATCAAATTACAGTACCAAACTAAAATGTCATATGACCGTCGCGAATGTATTTATTTTAGATTTTCTCATAATAAGAGCTGCTGATGTTGTGCTTGTGTGAATTCTGAAAATAGCAAGCAACGATGTCCTAGTAGTAACATTTATGATCAAAAATGGTTTAATTTACACCAAATTGAAGAATTAGAACCAAATCACACATGCCATATGCTAGTTATTTGAAAAATTTCTTTTTGCTCGAATGTTGTTCTACCGTTTGTGTTGACGGTAAAACATGAGAGTACGAAGCGAGTGTAGTAAAAAACGTCAACCGTATCAACCCCTGGTGGCAAGTACCATACTCTACACTCAGGGAAGTTGAAAAAAAAAATTCCAATTCGAATATTGTTTAGACCGGACCAGGAATCGAACACGCCGCCTCCAGCATGATCTCGCTTTGTAGCTGAGCTAAGGCAGACCCCTACGCTCAAAGCAAATCAGCCAAATTTGATGCACCTATTTTGAGTTGAATTCAAATGCTAAAAAACCTTCAAAATGAATTCCTTGTGTGCAAGCTGTGTCTCCCACCCAGGTCCAGAGTCATGTCGGGATTGTCTGGTATCCCTATCGAGATTCCCCGTAATCCCTTCGAGAAAAAACAAAACCACATTTAGTATTCCCAAGTAACCAAAAGTTCTAATAAAATGCTGTTTGTGGCTGAAGCAGCTTGGTTGAAGGTGGTCTATAGAATTCTAAGCGCCTCATTTTTAATTCGTTATAGTTCCGGTACCATAATTGAAGAGCATTCTAAGCAGCTTCTGGCGGAACTTGAACGGAACTTTTAGAAAATAAGTTAAAAAAGGTTTTTGTCCTGTATTTGGTTCGCACTTTTATGAAAGATAATTCTATAGTCAGATCTTTAAGAAAGTTATTTCTGAAGGCAGGTATGAACGTGTATGAAATTGCTCCTTATTTTTTTTTTTTTTTTTTTGGATAGAATATTTATGCACTGCATAGATATAAGAATTATGATTTATTTAAGCCACTGATCATTTCATATTTGCGTACATTAAATATATTGCTTCATGATAGCCTAAGAAGTTCCGCTGGGAACTTATTCGTTACTTTGTTGTGGCCATGTTTTCAGCCTTGCCTAAAGTTCCTAAGAAGTGCTTATGGATGCTTTTAGGAACTTTTTTTGAACTTCAAGTTGCTAATAGTACACACTTAGAAATAACTAATTTTACGCGTGACGGAATCCGTCTTTGACATAAAAGATGAGACGTAAACAAACATGTCATGTAATATTAAGTGCTCCGAGACTGAAAAGTTCGTTGCTCGACGAAAAGTACGTTTGATTGAGCTATATTTTGCGTCTGTTATGACTCAAATTTATGTCAAAAATGACGCTCGTATATGTCACTCTCAGAGCACCTAAATTTACATGTTTTTTTCTAAGTGTGTACGCATCGGAACTTTTTGGAGCTTAAGTTCCTCGTGTGCTTTCTATAGCTTCTAAAGTAGCCAGAATATTATGTTGGAACTTTATATGCACTTTATGGAACTTGAAAGTGGGTTTTAACGTTGAATGCAGAACTTTTGGTTGCTTGGGAAGAAAGTTTTGTCGGAACTTTATTTGACCTTTATGGAACTTGAAAGTTCTGTCAGAACATTATGGAACTTTAAGGTTCTGCCGGAAATTAATGTGAACTTTATGGAACTTGGAAATGAGTTTTATCGTTGAACTTTTGGTTACTTGGGTTGTCCTGCATTTCAGCGAGTATTGATATTGTTGATCTTCTTCAGAATCCCAGACAAAGATTCAGCGAATCTCAATTAGGATAAGGAAAATCCCGACTGGGATTCGTAGAATCTTGAATACTCTGTAATCCTTCCTGAGCTCTGACTGCAAACATTATGACTGCCGCTCATGGCAAGTCCGTCCCATAGCACAAATCAGTAAGCCGAGAAGTTAGCTTCGTACTAATCAGGTCATATTGACTAATCACTTAGATAATTTTGCTCTTCTACGTACAATTTCATACAAAGTAACGTTAAAAATAAGGTGAATCCACTTCAGAGACATTATGGTCTTATGAGGCAAGTTCAGAGGACTTTTGGGAAAACTTGGTTAATTTGGTACTGAATTCAACCGAACAGGTTGATTAATTTCTGGTCTGGCGATATTCGATATCAATGTGCACGAACTATATCGAATTAATTGTCAAGTGCGCATAATTATAACTCACGTGGAATAACCCGCCATCACGGCACATAAATTGACTTTGATAAAAGATTTAGATAGATAGAGGCGGTGTCCTATTGATCTTCATGATCCCTTATTTTCACAGAGCATACTTTATAGTGTCCTATACTGCAACTATTTGCATAACAGTCCTTTGTGACATGCGACTGTTAGGCGAATACCGGCAGTATAAAATTGTCCAGTAATAAAAACTCGTTTGTTTTAATGAAAGTGAAAGCAAATTTAGTACCTAGACTAACTAACATTATCACAGACAAACAGACGCAAGTCTTCATTATTGGTCATGGTACGCACATAATTCAACGTTCATTTTGAGCATTACTTGTTTCATGATCACACCATTGGTCCCTCGAAGATTCAGACAAACATCTGCTTGCATTCACCATAATCGATCGTCAGCCAAAGCATTGCAGCTTCAATTCATGTTGCTTACGTAAATACCTACAATAACTCAAAAATGCTTCACCATTGCGCTACATACATCCCAGCTTATATTTATTTGCAGCAGAAGTTTCATTTATCAGTATAAGATGGTCACGACACATGTAAAAAAAGTTTCATTCGAACATACAAAGAATTAACCAAATGTTCTCTCCTTCTATTTCCACTCACTCCTGCAGGCGCAGCCGTTGCACGCGAGCGTTGCGACAGTCTTCCATCGCGGAATCGAACGACCAGCGAAACCAGCACCCATCAGCAGCAGTTGATCATAAATAGCGGCGGAATGCCTCCGCCCAGAACGATTCCGTCGTCCAGCTTCACCCGGCCGCAGTCGATGATCGTTAACCGCCAGAGCCACAGCCATAGTCCTCCGGTGCATTCGTCGCCGCTGAGTCCACCGTCGACCGGTGCATGTTCAACCGGTAGCGATGGTTCCTCGTTCAGCATTGACGAACCGGACAGTTTTCTTAGTTCGCACACACCGGATGAAGGCAATGGCTTTTCCAAGGTCATTAAGTGAGTCTCTTCTTGATCCTAATAGCCTCGACCTGTAGGAACTAGGCCGTTTCATTAATAAAACAACTCTTTGTTCCACTCCTTCCTTCTCTCTTCTCAGTCATCTCAGCTCAGGTTGTTCCATTCCGGAGGAGAATTCCGAAGAGTACATCAACAACTACGGGAAGATCCCTATGAGGCCACAAATGCAACATCGATCCATGGATGAATTCGGCAGCCACGTAAGTATCCGCAAATCCATTTTCCACTCTAAGTACTTTGATTTTCAAAATTCAAAATTCGCTCTTCAATTGGCAAGTTTAATCACTTCCGGAATGTATTTTTTTTATCTCTTTCAACACCTGGCGCGCGTGCTTCAAAATTCCGATCTTGAAATTCAAAACCTGAATCATTCGACCAAAAATTGTATCACCCACCATCATCCCTGGCCGCTCGCATGGTTTACATCTTCTACTACTGCTACTACTACCACTACTACTACTACCACCACCAACCACCACCACCACCACTTCTACTACTTCAAAAACAACAAACCCCAATCGGTGCCGCAAAATCAATCCAACAACCCAACAACCCAACCCAACCAATAGTTAAGGCATAGTTTTAACTCACTGTCGCTTCCAATATCACAGGCGATCAGAAGGGGCAGCCCGGCGCCACCGTCGAACATTGTCGGTTCGGTCGAGGGCAGCAGCAACTACATGGACATGAGCAGCCCGTGCGGTAGCTCCCCGGGCGATCCATCCGGCAACAGTGGCTACATCCCGATGTCACCGGGTGCGGACTTTCCACGAGGGTAAGTAGTCCGGGAATATCTGCGGAGGGATCGACCTGCGGGAAGGGTATTTCCGGTGGAGAGCATTTTACAGGGTGGCCGCTGGATTTAAGAGAAAATGGGGCACTTTCAATCAACTTATCGAACGTATTAAAAAAAAACCGTTGCAGGCTTAAGGCTTGAAGTTAATTTGAACTATTTATTTGATTTTAGTCTACACAATACTTTTTTCTAGCGCGAATATTCGAAAAATGTTAGACTAGCTCAAAATGTAAAAAATGTTCTAAGATTTCTGAATCAGAAAATAAGGTCTATCTGTAGTTTCTTATAACTTATCGTTAATATTCCTTCAGCAGCTATATTCAGCCATTTCATAGCAAAACAAAATAGTGGTATTCTCAGAATTTCGTAAAAAGATTAGTTTTGTTCCTTATCGCAATATATTAGACCCGTAGGTGGGTGGTCCTAATAATCAATTTTGTTCAAAACTGACTTTTTTCAAAAATTTAAAACCATTGGGCTGATCTCAAAGATCAAAATATCAAATGAAAGGTAAATAAAAATACGTTTCGTGACCATGTTGTAGTCGATATAGACGCATTTCGCACCAAATGTATTAAACTGACTACAAAACAAAAAATCATCTTTGAATAGATTTTGGAATTATCCTACGAAAATCTTTAAGAAATTTACAAAGGTATCCTGAGGTAAGTTCTTAAGAAATAATGTTGTTAATTCAGACGTTGAAAATCATACAAGATCCCGTACACAGAAATGGATACAAAAATATAGACCCATTCCGCCTAATACCGCCTCAGTGGCATTCGGCTTTCTGACGCTCTGATCCGATTTAAACGCCCTCAACCTAGATTTTCATTTTTAAACACTTTTTGATTAGTTCAGGGCTATCTCTTCCGATAAAAACTACCTCAAATGATCAAATGAATAACCATCCATCATCGACGTCACTAGAATCAACTCATGAAGAGGTTTTAACTGCCTATAATCGCATATCAGTCCCATATGAATTTTCGTCAATTTTAAGATAATAACGTTATCCACTAGCAATTGGCATCACCTTTCATATTACGTGATAAAATTACGGACTTTGATTATGAAATGAAATGAAATGTGAAAACAACATCAAGCCAGTTTGTCATCTAATGTTGGCCTATGTATCTAAGATTGGGGCCATCGCTAAAAATCTGCTTGTTGGTAATCCAAAAACGCGTTGACAACTCGGCGCCCAACCGGTCTACAAGCTATTCATTGAACCAAGAGTAAAACTTTTTTGCACTTTTGTATGAACAAGCATTAATAAACGATCAGAAGTAGTAATCGGCCGCGTTTTATATTTCGTCGTTCGATTTACCGGAATATTCGCGATCCTACGAAAGGCAAATAAGTTTTTGGTGTTCTCTGGTTCCAGTTCCCAGTCCAAGCTCTCGATCTTTCGCTCTGTTCATTGGTCCTTCGAACCAGATGTGATGGAACCACATGACGTGGATAGGTTGCGCGCGAAGCGGGAGGTTATGTTCGCGAAAGCGAAATAGGAGTTGTCCGTTGCTGAAAACCTAAACACTCGGAATCCCACCTACGAAGAGGTGCAGGAACGGAAGGATAAACTCACGGAACTTGCTGGTAACTTCGAAACCATTCAAACCGAGATTGAAGAGAGCACCAGTCACTTGGAAGATGTAGCGTAGGAACGACAGGAGCGGATGTCCACCTACAGCGCTGGAACTGGAGAATCGACAAACGACTTGCGAGATCAGGGCGCTCGTAGAGATGATGATCATGCACCAAATGAGGAACAATGCAGCACCTGCTGCGAGACAGGTATCGAATCAGAACCATCCACTAAACGTAAAGCTTCCGCAGCTCAATATTCCGGTGTTCAAAGGAGAACGGAAGAACTGGCATTCCTTCAAGGATTTGTTCGTGAGCACAATCCACAGCCGAGTGGACCTGAAGGATTCGCTGAATATGCAGTACTTGCTATCATATATGGATGGCGAGGCGAAGAAAATGGTCAGTTCATTCCCCATCATTGATGCCAATTATAAGGAAGCTTGGGAAACACTTGTAACGCACTACAACAAGAAGAAGTACACAGTGTTTGCCCTAGTTCGGGAGTTCATCGAACAACTAGCAACCTCATGCACGAGTGGATTGAAGAAGTTGGTGACAACATCCGACGACGTGATACGACAGCGTACGGCACTCGGGAACGAATTCGAATCGAGGGATCCGTGCCTCATCCACCTACTGTTGGAGAAAGTTGACAGGGAAACAAGGTCTTTGTGGGCTCAGAAAATTGTTGATGTCGACAGTCCAACCTTTACTGACTTTCTGGAGTTCCTGCAGAATCGGAAACGTGCACAGCATTCACGAAGCGACCAAGCCAGGGAGATGCCGCAAAGAAGGATAACACGAAGCCACACGTTGGTGAAAGGGTGCAAGTTTTTCACACCAACTCATCGTCGGCAGCGTGTGCAAAGTGCTGGAAAGACCATCCGGTCTATCACTGCGAGCAATTCAAGGAAATGGATGTCATGGCGCGCAGGGATGTGGCACAATCGGCAAGGCTGTGCCTCAACTGTTTGCGTCCTTTCCACTCGGCAAAGAAGTGCCCGTTGAAATCGGTATGCCGCTCTGCAGACTGCAAGCAACGGCATCACACTTTACTGTGCACACAGGAAGCGAAGCAACCGGAGAAGAAGCCGAATCAGGATCAATCAAACCAGGAAGCTCGTTCGGAATCAGCTCTAGCATCGGTGAAGGTCAACTCGGCACAATCGCTGGACGAGAAATGGGAAGTTACGCTGCTGCCCACAGTGGTGGCACGGATCAAAGGGAGTGACGGCAAGCTGCACGAGGTGAGGATTCTTATTGACTGTGGTTCACAGGTGTCGCTCATAACGGAGGCGTACGTAAAGCGTCTTGGTTTGAGGCGTAGCAACGCTACATTGGAAGTCACTGGTGTCAACGCCAAGGTTGTCGGCACTACCGCCGGCAAGGTTACACTCGTGATCTCATCGCGTTTCGAAGATGGACCGAAACTCGTCACTCATGCTTACATATTGGGAAAGCTCACGGCAACACTGCCGTGTCAGCACTTCAGCGTTTCAAACATGCCTTACCTGGAGGGTCTGCAACTGGCCGACCCGCAGTTCAACAAGCCTGGGTCAACGGACATCATCCTGCGATCTGATGTTTTCCTTTCGTTACTAGAGCCAGGGCAGGTCAAGGATCACAACGGAAATCCTGTAGCACAGTGTTCCGTCTTTTGATGGATGGTTGCAGGAAAGATTTCGAAGCAAGGGTGTGCTCACACCTATCATTCGGTACTCAATCTGCATCAAGAGGTTGATATCGATCGCACTCTGCGGCTGTTTTGGGAGGATCAAGAGCTTCACAGTCCCAAGTAGCTCACCAAGGATGAGCAAGGAGTGGTTGAAGAATTCAACTCCACGCTCACGCGCTCGCAGGAAGGTCGCTTTATCGTCCGTTTACCTATGGATGATTCAAAGCTCAAACTCAGAAATTCGCTGGCCGCTGCTACAAGGCGGTTGAGAGCGATGGAACGCCGATTCGAGAACGACAGCAGTTTCAAGTAATGATACTTATCGTTTATGCAAGAGTACCAGCAATTGGGCCACATGCACGTTGTGCCGCGAGCGGAGATCAACGTGGACTGTTCGAAATCGTACTACTTGCCCCACCATGGCGTCGTAAAGGAGAAAAGCGTAACCACAAAACTTCGAGTGGTTTTCGATGCTTCTTCTGCCACCACGACTGGAACATCCCTAAACGTTATGTTACTAGATGGCCCGAACATCAACGCCGATCTGTTTGAAGTACTTCTGCGATTCCGATTGTTCTTAGTGGTATTCATCGCGGAAGTCGCAAAAAATGTACCGCCAGGTGTGGGTGTACCCTGACGATACGGACTACCTACGCATCGTATGGCGAGAATCTCCTGACAAACCGATTCAGCATTTTCGTTATCGTACCGTCAACTACGGTCTTAAGAAATCAGGGTTCCTAGCAATGGCAGCACTACACAAGGCAGCGGGATCTCTCCGCTGGAACTTGTCAACTATCCCCTGTGGTGGACGGGGCCCGCATGGTTGTCCGATGATTCAGCTATGTGGAAATGCGACGTACCAGACGAAACACACGACGAACAATCACTGGAGGTACGTAAACGTTTTCAATCACTCAATGTTTCCGTTAGTCTTCCAACCACAAGCAACGTCATTGAGAAGGAAATCCTCGAGCAACGATCCGATCTTAGCGTGGCGTGTTGGCAGCTGGCCCGCGTTCAGATATTCGTCTACAACATGAGATGCAAGGTAACCGGTAACGACAAGCAATCCGGTCCTATTTTGTCATCGCAGTTGCATCAGGCTCGAATGCAATTTGTACGACTGTCGCAGCAGGATTCCTATGCAAGGGAAATCAAGGCTCTGGTACGTGGAGAGGAAGGTCCAGTTAAATCCAGCATTTCAAGCTTGTACCCTTTCCTGGATAGTACCAGCACGCTCCGGGTTGGAGGGCGATTACAGTACTCGGTGTATTCCTTCGATGTCAAGCACCCGATAATCGTCCCTAAGAAGCATCGCTTCGCAAAACTTCTCGTAAAGGAAATTCACATCAACAACTGCCACGCTGGGCCAACTTTGATAACAGCAACAATCAACCAACGTTATTGGATCCAAGGTTGTCAGACGGTTATTAAGCAGGTGATACGAGACTGTGTGACGTGTTGTCGTCAGAAGGCGCAAACAGCAAAACAATTGATGGGGAGTTTGCCAGCAGCACGAGTGACAGCATGTCGCCCTTTTGCCCATGTTGGTGTGGACTATGCTGGTCCGATTCTGGTGCGGTGTAGTAACACGCGAGGAGCACGGTGCATGAAAGGATACATCGTCGTTTTTGTTTGCTTGTCGAGTAAAGCCATCCACTTGGAAGTCGCAGGAGACCTTACCACCGAGACTTTTTTGGGATCGTTCAAGAGAATGATCGCACGCCGTGGATACTGTAAGAAGTGTGGTCAGACAATGGCACGAATTTGGTAGGCGCTGATCGACAGTTGCAGGAGATTTATGGGATGGTCATGAAGCACGTCAAGCAAGCGGAACATTTAACGGCGCCGGTGGTGTAGTGGTAAGCGTGATTACCTCTCACCCCAGCAGGCCTGGGTTCAATCCCAGTCGGCGCCGCCGGGATGTTCTGAGGCATAACATCTTTGATCACGCCTTCCTTCGGATGGGAAGTAAAGCCGTTGGTCTCCGGTTCATGAGTTGATGGGTCGATAGGTAGGGTCCAAGTGTGGGAGCTGCCTTCCTGGCACGTCGGTAGCATTGGTGCTCAGCACGGAAAACAAGATCGACGGAAAAAACAAACCAAAGGAAAAAAAAACATTAATAAACGATCAGAAGTAATAATCGGCCGCGTTTTATATTTCGTCGTTCGATTTACCGGAATATTCGCGATCCTACGAAAGGCAAATAAGTTTTTGGTGTTCTCGGGTTTCAGTTCCCAGTCCAAGCTCTCGATATTTCGCTCTGTTCACTGCTATATAACAATTTTATCTAGATGAACATTGGGACGGTACTTATGGATATTTTGGTCGCTATTGAAAATTTAGTCGATTGTTGTATGTATGGGCCCAAATGAGGGGCATTTAGGCCGACATTACATCCATTTCCCCTATCAGTCCCATCCTGAAATTCAATCGTCGAGAGGTCAAGTTACAGTTCTGCTTTTTAAATCGCCATACTTTTCGCTAATATAACAAAACATGCAAGCTTCATTGCAACTGATTTTAACTTGACCAAATGTTCGATTAATTTAGCATGATTTTGAAAATATTTACATGGAAATTGCACTCCTTAACTTCAACTGCCATTTTCTCAATGTCTACTTATTCCATATGGGATTTTAGACAGAAAACCATTTTTAGCCTGCCCCCCAAAACCATATTTGTTTTGAATTTCTATTTTCTATGCAGTTATTAGACAGGGAGGTCTTAGTGACGCCAATGATCTTACTGGGGATGCTTGGAGGACTTAATAGGGAAAGCCAGCCATTTAAATGCTCTCCAGAACATACCCCATTCAAAAAATGTCATTCAGCAACTAACCTCCAGTGTTCATCTCGTTTCAGCTTGTACAGTTCCAGTGCACATTCGCGCACCTCCAGTCTGGCGGAGGACACCGTCGACGGTTATGTTCCTATGTCGGGCCCAGGTCACTCCACCGCGCAAGAATACGTGGACATGGATCCGTCGCATAATAGTAGTAATCGCACGATCGCGGCAACCAGCAGTCACGCTGCAACGATCGGCGGTGGTAACGGCAACATCAGTTCGGCGGCTTCCAGCTGCAGTATAACGTCGGGAACTCCCTCGACGGATATGCGGTTCTCCGAGTACCATCTGGAGAAGGTGGTGGCCCGGTTTACGCCGAGTGAGGACGACGAAATGGATCGACCGATTCGAACGTACTCAGTGGGAAGCCGGTTGGAGCATAACAAGAGAAAATTACGCGTGGACATGCTCAGCTCGGAGTGTTCCTCAAATTCGAGAGTTCGTGCGTTTTCCGTTGGCTCGAGAGCTAAGGTCCCGAGATCGGACGTGTACAAAGGAAGTGGAGCTCCAATAACGGCACCGTTGCTATCGGCCGGAAGTTCCGGAAGCATGCAGGAAACTAGTAGCAACAGTGGAAGCATCACAAATTGTATTATCGGGCCGGGCACGGACGCGAGAGGATCAAATTCGAGCATGAACGAAGGCAAGACGGGCAAAAAGTCGTCAAGTGCACCGATGTTGGCTGCGAAGCCACATGGATCGTTTGATCCGATGGATGATCTGATGGAGATCGATTTTACCACACCGTTCCATGGTGAACCTGATGTTAGTAGTAGCACACCGCAGAAATCCATGGGGATGGAGGATTACATGGAGATGACAGCGGGTGGTAGCCAGAGTAATAAGGGGTACGTCGAGATGAAGCCGGGTCATCTACCCACGGCGAATACGAGTACCCTAGAGCAAAGCGACTATCTGGACATGAGACCGGGAACGGGATATGAACCGAACCTGTCGACGAAAAGCAAAAGCTCTCCGATTAAAATTAACTCGCCGAAGAAATTCAACGGCGGTGGAAATAATAACAATAACTACCTGGAAATGTCCCCACTGATGATGGGAACATCGTCTTTGTCTTCCTCATCGGCAACGCACCGTAAAACAAAAGTACCTTCGGAAGATTACCTGAACATAAACCCACTGATGATGACCAGTGGCGGCGGCGACAGTGGCAACGAAGATAAAATGATAAACGAAGAAGAAGAGGAAGAGGAAGTAGTGGCACCGAGCAGTGCCCCGGAGGTGTACATGGAAATGTCCTGGAGTCAACCCAAGTCTAGTCTTAAGCCTGAAAGTTCCAAGCCGGCTTCGGATGAATATATTAATATGGATTTCACTCGTAAAGAAGTGGGAGGAGGGGCGTCGGGTGGGGCGGACTCGCGCCTCAGTTCGTTGCCCATCGCTATCCAATCGAGCAGTGGCGGGAGCCGAGCAATGCAAGGGGACCTGATGGAACCAAAGATGGGCGGAGCACCGTCTAATATTCCAAATTACCTTCCGTTGAATCCCGCGGCAATTCAACAGCGACACTCAGTTTCGGCACAAATCGGATTCAGTCCGAAGCAGAACAGTTTGCGATCGCGGTGTGATTCGAGGGACAGTGGCATTGTGACACCCTCCGGCAGTCAAGCAACCATTTTTCCCTTTAGCCCGGGAAGTCCTATCAAGTCATTCCCTATGGGAGGAGAACCGAGCGCAGAGGAAAGGAAGTGTTTTGTCGATGGAACCACCGGTACCTTGCGCATCAGCGAAACCGATGAGGATAACAGTGAGGAGTCGAGTGAGTTCCTAGCAGTAATGGATCAACAGCAGAGACAACAAACACAAGGCCCGAAAGACGCGGAAAATAGTAAGCTGGAGGATCTAAGTCATAACTATGCCGAGTTGAGTATAGGTCAGCAACAGCAGCAGCAGCATCAACAGCCGAAGACTGATAAGAGTCGCCCAAGTTCCTTCAGTAGTACCAAAAAAGCGAATCTAAGTCTGATTCTCACGACATCGACGAATACCATAACAACACCGACGATAACTGCGATGAAGTCTGCTCTTGAATATCCGGATTATGTCAACTGCAGTCCGGTAACGACTCCGGTGGTACCGAAACCGACCACTCCTATGACATTAGATGATCAAGCCGGTGATTATGCGATCATGAATCCAGCTAGTCTGAGGAAGTTATCTAGTACTTCCCAATCGGAACTCTCAACGAGCGAATGTGGACTTCCACCGTTGACGAGAAAGTCCAACATGATAGGTTTTAAGCCGATAACCTCCAGCCAAGACGAAGCTCTGTTGAAGAAATCCAGTGGAGTGTCTCCGAAACCGGCTTTCAGTCGACAGTACTCGGAACGACGGGCCGGTCCATCCGGAATCGATTCCTCCGGTTATGAGATGCTTCAGCGTGCCTCGTCACGACCGAACAGTGTAAACAGTGAGAAGATCAGCAACAAATGTCCTCCATCGGCAGGTTCGACGCGTCCGAGTTCGGCCAACAGCGATAGACTTCCCATCATATCAGCTACCTCATCGTCCGCTTCCTCAACATCGACGTTGTGCGAGAGCAAAAACCAAAGCCCAACTGCGTCCAGCATGATGCTTGCCACAACGACGGCGGCGACTATCAGTATCCGACCTGACTCCGTAACCTCGCTGACAGATCCGCACATTATCTCGCGGCCTCCATCGGTAAGCTCGGAACGCGAACTGCACTATGCCAGTCTCGATCTTCCACCCTGCAGCACAAATCCTCCCCCTTCTGCGGCAGCAGCAGCAGCAGGAGCAGTAACAGGTGCAGTAGTTGTGCCATCCAGCCGCATGGAGGTCGATTCCGATAATAGTGTGGCTACAGCAAGCCGCCCTGCGGGACCCGACTCGTTGAACTCCAGCCCTAGTCCCAATTCCGGATGTACCTCGCAACAACAGACTGGTTCTGCCTTTACCTATGCTCAAATCGATTTTGTCCGCTCGGTTGCGCAGGCTCAGGCCATACAGCAGCAACAACAGTCATCAACCAAAAGCGGCCAACAGCAAAAGTAAGAGAGCACAGACACACTGAAAACTGCCAATCTGAAACAACAGCAGAGCCCTTCCTTTCAATCGTAAGTACTAGCGGTTAAGCTGCGCGCGTGAGATGTAAATATAAACCAACCACGCTCGGATTAGGACAGTGTAGTTCTTTGTTACCGTTTTGTTTTTTGTACCACTACTAAGAGCAAACCGCCAAGAAGGAGAGACACAAACCAGGGCGGACAGTGTAGTGTCCGAGAAGAGATAAAGTAGTAGAGTGCCGCACCTACCTACCTACCTACCTACTAAGAATGTCGAAACGATACTTTTAATTAGTGTTTAAGCGCATCGCGTTACGGATAAGCAAGAGAAGAAAAGTAACAAAAATATTCCAAAAATAGTTTAATTGCAAAAGAAAAAGCAAGATCAACAGAACCCCAACAGATACACAGATGGAAGGAAAGAAAGTGAAAATAGTTGAAACCTTGAGATATAAGATGAAATTTCAAATGCCAAAATAAGCTTTACTTGATTTTCTTGTTTTTTGTTTACTTTCATCAAACGATAGAAGGAAACTACACGATTATAATAGAAACTATTAAGGGAAAACACATACACACACACATACATACACAGATTGCAGAAACAGGAAAGGAAGCCTAGCCAGTAAGTAAATTAATTGAGTGTATGCATAAGCTTAGACTAATGTAGAGACGGAAGGAAGAAACTATAGAAAACTTTATTTTTTATTAAGGAAATCAACTTTTTAGCCGGTAAGGATAGATTTAGACGAAAAAGTATAACTTATACAAGTTTAAGCTTAAGAAGAAATGTAAACAAGTAAAAAAGGCAGAAGAAGAAAATATCTATATAGAAGTACGTCTAAGTGAAGTAAAACAGATAAGGTCAAAACCTCTAAACTATTCATATTCATATATACAAAAGTAGAACACACACACATACACAGACATACACACATAAACATGCACACGTAACGAGAACGGTTTGAATCAGCAAGAAGATAGTTTTACTTTTCAAAGTAGCAAACAGAAAATGAAGAAGAAAAAGCAACCATAGGAATCAGCTCTAGGGATACGTTCAAGTATATATAGAACCGAAAGATGATCCTACGCGTGCCAGTCGCAAAACACTCCTCGCGTGTGGATGTAATAGAAACCTGTATTTTATGTACGTTTATCATCTTCGGTGAACAAAGCAAAATCATAGTTAAAATATACAATTTTTTTCGTTAGTCACAATGTTTTAGTTTCAGGAATTCAAGAGTACACAGAACAACCAACCAGCATTGTTCAAGTCAACTTAAGTGACAAGCGACAACGACGACGACGATGACGACCACGACGACGATTAAGACCAAGACTGTTCTTCAGTGAAATCAAACCTTCGTTGTTCAATTAAATCTTTCGCAAGTTTTGGAGACGAAAAAAAAACAAGAGAAGAGATCTACCAGCTTTGTATCTTTTTCGCGTAGCTTATCAAAAAGATATTCAAGCTTATTCTTTAGTTTGTCATGTTTCTTTCATTTTAAATCGAGTTCGATTCTCCAGAAGTGATTGTTTTTTTGTTCTTTTCATATGTTTACTATTATACTTATCTACGTTTTGCTCAATTTATTGTAATTTTACTACTGTTCTGTTTAAGTTTATCTAATACGTTTTTCATTTGTTATGGGCGTTACCTAATCGTTCCGTTTTGTTTTCTGCAGAATTTTGAGTGCGAATCGAAAATGAAGTTTTCCAAAATTTTCCAAACTATTTCAACTAAAAGCGTACCTAGATCACGTAAAATCACACATCTTTAAAAACAAACGGACACAAGAACAGAGGGGTCCTTGTAGTCACAACTTTTATTGAACATCAAAAAATAATTTTATTTTAACGCACACCTACAACCCATGAGCTGCTAACGGTCCTCCTTATTTCTAGCTATTCAATCATAAAGCCCGGTTTAGATGATTCGATTTGGCGTTCAATTCTCTTGAACTTCGAAAAGAACAGTCAGATCGGGGGTTAGTTAAATCAACTTTAGACCTTAAACGTGTTTTATTGTAATTGTAATTGTTCAGTGCATAGGCTGTGCCTTCCGCTAAGAAGGCTTATCTAGGGACCAACCCCCTAGTCTATACACCTACTGTCCTTCCCGTTGCACTCGTCAGCTCGTGCGATACTCTAGACACACATGGGTGGTCGTATCCGGGTCCTCCCCTGGGTAGGCTCGTGTCCGTCCAGGTTCTGGTACATTAACTTATCTATATGCATTGTAATTATACTTTTAAAACTCACCTTTTGATTATAATGTCGAAAATGCTGAAACTAAATAAAGGTTAGCGATCCATATAAGGTGTGTGCTGCGACGGAGTAGTAATTGAAGGAAATGAGGTTCTGATGTGAAGTATAGGTAATTCTAAAATAGGTAAATCAATTAATCATTAGCTGCTAACAGTTACTAATAAATGGGTACGATAAATCACTCATCAATGAGTATTGCCACTCCCACTGAAAAATTGGCAAAACCTTAATCATAAATGGATATTCGATTCCTACCGTGTATTTAAAGTAAAGTTAGGATCTTATCAAGCAAGCACACACCTTTTACGATTCTTATCCTACTTACGGTTTCCTGCACATACGACTTTTCCTAGATACAAGCTTCGTCCAGTATACATTGGCTGTCTCCTACCGGCATGATCCTTTCTGTCTGCTTAATCTTGCCGGTGCAAGTTTAATTCTTCTTTTCTTGTTCGAATTTTCTTTTTCTCCTATTGATCTTCTGGTCGTGTTCCCATTTGTCCTCAGGCAGTTAATATTAGTACATGATAGGAAGAAAGAAAGAAATAGAACAAGTTAAGTGTGAGCCGCATGCATTGGTTACTTATTTGGGTCATGGTGTTGTCTTCCCTATTTATTTGCCTCTATTCGCTCTCATATCGCAACGTTTAACTCACCCCCTTCCCTCACACTATTATGGAAAAGAAAAGAGAACCCATATTTAGTAATCTATCGCGAACTGCGATGCAGAAGATATTAATAGCAAACTAATCTGGAACTGGTCTAAGACATATAACCCAGCGAGTATTGACACATCACACTGTTGTGAATGAGCACGGACGCGAGATTTACTAGAGTATTAAATGCAAAACGCAAAATCAAAATAAAACTTGACAAGACATCGTCAATCCCCTTATTCTTGGGCAGGGTCTGACGATGTGAATCTGATTTTGATCAGTGAACGGGCCCCATATGGTACATTTTCTCACTATGAACATGTCATTTCCAGCCTATCTGAACTATTTAATAAATGGAAACCATAACATGGGTTACGCTTCCCCTAAGCGGGCCCTCCGCATCCTATCTCTGTCTTATCTCAAATGCCAATGGTTTGAATGTATCAATATATACATTGGAAATGACGTTCAATCAAATAAACCCATACCCCACTCACTTGGCCAGGCTTCAGAATCGTCCAGTGGGCAGTGCGCTCTACACTCCAACTTCCCTTTCTTTCAAATTCACCCCAAATTTGATATTTTACCCCTTTGAGTGTTGATTAATCACAATGAAACATTGTGACAGAGCACGGACTTGAGGTTACTAGAGTATTAAATAATCTAGGTCCTATTTAGGATTAGATCTGAAAAATCCAAATCTGGCCAACGCCCACCAACTTTAGACCTTAAACGTGTTTTATATATAATAAATAATATAAAGATAATGTTGCTCGCAGTCCTTCGGATCAAGCATAGAAAACTATTTTACAAAGTATGCTCTCGGCGATAAGATAAACCTGCGTCATAAAGGACCTTAACATTACCCTTCTTGGCTTTAAGTGTCTTGGCCTGATCTTTGGGCTTTGAGGAGCTAGGCAGTGTGCTTATGTAACCAACAATCCATCCTGGAATTCTACCGATAGCTCTACCATTTACTACTGGAATAATGCTGTCACATGAACACACTTCCTTAACTGCTGTGCAATGATCATGCTTTGCACACTCAACCCCAAAAAACTCATCCAAGACAGGACTTAGTTTTTTTGAGCCATACGAGCTGCAACCATTGCTTGCACTGCCTGGATATCCCGGTCAATTACATCGTATGACCATTCCTGAGAAACACCACCAGTTGCAAATTCTGCCAATTTTCTGAAGAAGTCTTTAGCATATGGCTTGTGTGCTGCCACATACTGCTTAGTAGTCTTATTGCTAATAGACTTCTTCAGCTTCTCATCGGTCAAAGCAACTGTTGCAGTGTAAGCACAAAGTAGTGCTATGTCCATCCGGGAATGTGGCAGGTGTTGGCCACCAGATTGAGCAGATGAATTGATAGCAATAATCAAATCTGCCTTCTTTTGATAGACACCTTTGATTAATGCATCATTGTGCATGTCATCGATTGACTTCCGGGAGAAGATTGCACCTGCTAGCGGTGTCAGAACAATGAAACCAGCTTCTACTGCAATGGGGGTATAAGTGTTCAGTATATGAATTGCCACCAATGACACCTGCTTCATAGTCAAAGTGATGCCTCTGTTGACTGACACTTTAGGGGCATCGAGTGGTGCAGCAACACTTTTGAAGGTTGCACATGTAATTGTACCACTGATGTGGTACTTCAACTCAGCCTCAATATAATTGAGTTCCCAATAGTTGAGTAAGGCAGCAAATTTGAGGGAATAAACATGTTCACCTTTGTTGGCATTGGTGATCCTTTTATCTTCCGGCACACTTTGGTTGAACAATTCAACAGCATCAATGAGCATGGCATCAAGCTGAATTTTGGTATACAAATGGTATGACCGCATATTCCAATGCTTGTCAGAATCTTGGCCTGCTTTGATTTGCCTTGTTGATGGTGCAATATGATAAATGACCAGTTCCATCAGGTTCAGTGCTTTGTTGTTGCTGTTGACAGTTGGCTTTTCGAATATGCTTGGTAATAATTTACCAACTTCAATCAGTAGGTCCGAAAAATCAAGTGATGATGCACCAGCCCTCTTGAAAACACTTGTGAATTCAAAATCGGTGAGCACCGACTACAAATTACACAACTTACTAGTTTTTCAACGCCTGCAACTCCTCAATGCCAATCTACCTTCGGCGGGCGCTTAGCGAGGTCGGTAATTGAACAGTAATACACTAAATGAAAACATATCTGCTTTCCGTGGTACAACAGTGGCGAACAATTAGGTACAATAATCAGCACAAAACATAATTCGCAACAACAAAAACACATCTATCGCGATGGAGTCTATACTCTCCTCTTTCCAGGCCAGCTGCTGGGGTAAACAAAACAAAGTAGTGCGAAAGCGATGGCCGTGTTCAGCTACCTTGATTATCGATCCCCAGCAGCACCTTCGGTGTAGTTCTCTCGTAACTGGGAATGTCGATGTCTTCAAGGTGCTTAAACTCCTGGACCAACTTCGCTGAATCCAGCTTCTGTGCAGGGAGGTTTAACCTGTGCACCGTATGAGCTTCGAGCAGATCGTATCTACTCGACGAGTCTCTGGCAGATATCTCAAGCACCACTTTCTTCGACTGATACTCCGTGCGCTGTACGCCGTTTGTCCAAGTCATCTGCAGTGGTTCCACTGGTCCATCGGCACCCAACGTTCTCACCAATTCACTGTCCACCATGGTAACCGAAGATCCTTCATCGATGAGTGCTAGAGTATCTACTCTTTTCTTGCCGTTGTACAGCGTCACTGGAACCATCCTAAACAGAACTGCACATTTCGACTGACGATGACTATTACACTGCACCTGAGTTCGCGAGTATCCGTCTGGTCCACCATGAAGAAGGGCATTGTGGTTCTCCGGACAGCCATCTACCTTGCAACAAACTCTTATACGACATGATCGTTGTCCGTGGTCGTAAAGGCAGAGTGGACAGAGGTTCAACCGACTCACCGTTTTCCACCGCCCTGCAACACTCTGTTTTAGCAATTCCTGGCAGTTCCTTCCGTAATGCCCAGACTTTTGGCACACGGAACACTTCAACTCTCGGCGCTGGTGTTGGGGTGACGAATTCTTCCCAGCTGACATAAGAATCCCAGACCGGCCGCTATCTCCATGTGATCTATTTCGCATCTTACCGTTCTCCTTTGCATCTGCCTTCTCGAAGGTTGCTTCCAACGCCTTCTCTACGAGACCTTCCATGAATGCACCGAATGTTTCCAAGTCGACTGACTGTGCGCGTCGCTTGTAGTCCACCCTAGCGGTGTCAGAACAATGAAACCAGCTTCTACTGCAATGGGGGTATAGTGTTCAGTATATGAATTGCCACCAATGACACCTGCTTCATAGTCAAAGTGATGCCTCTGTTGACTGACACTTTAGGGGCATCGAGTGGTGCAGCAACACTTTTGAAGGTTGCACATGTAATTGTACCACTGATGTGGTACTTCAACTCAGCCTCAATATAATTGAGTTCCCAATAGTTGAGTAAGGCAGCAAATTTGAGGGAATAAACATGTTCACCTTTGTTGGCATTGGTGATCCTTTTATCTTCCGGCACACTTTGGTTGAACAATTCAACAGCATCAATGAGCATGGCATCAAGCTGAATTTTGGTATACAAATGGTATGACCGCATATTCCAATGCTTGTCAGAATCTTGGCCTGCTTTGATTTGCCTTGTTGATGGTGCAATATGATAAATGACCAGTTCCATCAGGTTCAGTGCTTTGTTGTTGCTGTTGACAGTTGGCTTTTCGAATATGCTTGGTAATAATTTACCAACTTCAATCAGTAGGTCCGAAAAATCAAGTGATGATGCACCAGCCCTCTTGAAAACACTTGTGAATTCAAAATCGGTGAGCACCGACTACAAATTACACAACTTACTAGTTTTTCAACGCCTGCAACTCCTCAATGCCAATCTACCTTCGGCGGGCGCTTAGCGAGGTCGGTAATTGAACAGTAATACACTAAATGAAAACATATCTGCTTTCCGTGGTACAACAGTGGCGAACAATTAGGTACAATAATCAGCACAAAACATAATTCGCAACAACAAAAACACATCTATCGCGATGGAGTCTATACTCTCCTCTTTCCAGGCCAGCTGCTGGGGTAAACAAAACAAAGTAGTGCGAAAGCGATGGCCGTGTTCAGCTACCTTGATTATCGATCCCCAGCAGCACCTTCGGTGTAGTTCTCTCGTAACTGGGAATGTCGATGTCTTCAAGGTGCTTAAACTCCTGGACCAACTTCGCTGAATCCAGCTTCTGTGCAGGGAGGTTTAACCTGTGCACCGTATGAGCTTCGAGCAGATCGTATCTACTCGACGAGTCTCTGGCAGATATCTCAAGCACCACTTTCTTCGACTGATACTCCGTGCGCTGTACGCCGTTTGTCCAAGTCATCTGCAGTGGTTCCACTGGTCCATCGGCACCCAACGTTCTCACCAATTCACTGTCCACCATGGTAACCGAAGATCCTTCATCGATGAGTGCTAGAGTATCTACTCTTTTCTTGCCGTTGTACAGCGTCACTGGAAACATCCTAAACAGAACTGCACATTTCGACTGACGATGACTATTACAGCCATCTACCTTGCAACGAACTCTTATACGACATGCTCGTTGTCCGTGGTCGTAAAGGCAGAGTGGACAGAGGTTCAACCGAGTCACCGTTTTCCACCGCTCTGCAACACTCTGTTTTAGCAATTCCTGGCAGTTCCTTCCGTAATGCCCAGACTTTTGGCACACGGAACACTTCAACTCTCGGCGCTGGTGTTGGGGTCACGAATTCTTCCCAGCTGACATAACAATCCCAGACCGGCCGCTATCTCCATGTGATCTATTTCGCATCTTACCGTTCTCCTTTGCATCTGCCTTCTCGAAGGTTGCTTCCAACGCCTTCTCTACGAGACCTTCCATGAATGCACCGAATGTTTCCAAGTCGACTGACTGTGCGCGTCGCTTGTAGTCCACCCACTCCATGGCATAGTACGACGGCAGCTTCTGAACTAGACTCTGCATCAAAATTGGGTTCTTCAAGTGGTCCACCAGCCCGGCCGCTTTGAGATGCTGAGTAAACTCTTCGACGGCACTTCCGAACTCGATCACCGACTCCACTGCGGGATCGAGTGGAAATGGTTTCATACTAGGGAGAATACAAGAAGTGTGAGTTTTTTGCTTTTTTATCCTCAAGGGAATTTTTTTTTAGGATGAAAAAGCAAAAAACACAAACATCCTGCATTCTCCTCAGGATGAAACCATTTCCATACGATCCCGCAAGTTATTTACCTACAGAAATGATAAGAACTATATTTTTGATCCAGCGAATTTCAGTGATACACAATTAAATGTATTTTTCCGTCCATTTTCCCCCATTGTGCGATGGCATAGTATAGGTGCTATAGCAAGCAGAAAAAAATAAAAAAAGATAAAAAATAACTTACTTGATGCACTTTTGCCTCACTGACGCTGAAATACACAACAGAACGAATGCAGTTGTATACTCACAATGTTTACGTTTATGAGTGAGACACAGCAGACAGCCTTCTCTTCTCACAACTCACTTGCTCACTGTCTCTCAGTTTGTCTCTTGTCGCAATGGAACTCACTCTCAGCTTTACCACTTGTCTCAATCGTTCTCACTGTTTACAGCTGATATTTTCTCACACTTCTCTCTCGGATACTCCGGAGAATATGAAATGGCACATAGAACCAGCAACAATGTCCGTAAGAGAATAAAAAGTTCTTCGATCTATAGTGAAATAAAATGGCCAAAACCAATCAGAAAAACGTTCAAAATGGCACTTTTCACAATTTCAATATGAACTATTCCTGCCGGTCATCGCACCATACAACGCGTGCAACACTATTAATCGTTCTTTCGATCTTTTCAACCGTGACTCTAATCTGTTCAATGCGTTTTTAGCTCAACGAGATGAAAACGCATAGCAGATGACAAGCACACAGTCTTTTCTCTGCTCAAGTTTTCTCGAGCTCACTACACTCTTCACAAAAACTCTGCAATAGGTAGAAACTCGGTTTCTTCTAGAAATTCCCTGCAACAGAAAAATCCGTCTGAGAATCACATTTATATGTACAATACTATTTGTTTGTGTGTAAAAAAACCCGAACGATTGATGATCGTATGTCGAAAGGGTTCAGCCCATTTACCGAGTACGTTACTCATATTAATCGAATCGCGGTACGCTACACTACAGATACTCTATCTCATCTTCCACTGCTCTTCTACGAACTTTAAGATTGAGGCTCTCTGACTCATCTTTAGACCTTTGTTTTGGGTAGGTAATTAACCCGGATATTGAATCGAATAAACATGATTATAGACAAACAATCCAGTGTGTGTTCTTCTTCATGAAGTAGAAATTTGTGAGAGCATTTATTATAGAACAGAAAAGCTTAATACAAAATGTGCCGAAAAGCACAGTTGCCCACCAGGACCCAAAACCATTGGCACTATCTGATATTTCATCCATTTTGCTCTTGAAGTCAGACACACTCTTTGAGTTAAAGCTGTTCATTATACTTACTCCTGCAGGAAGGTCTGAGCCGGTTTGCAGAGTGTTTATTATTCTTGATGAAATAATTTTGGTACTGAATAATCATGTCTGACCTCCGTTAGCAATTGAATCGAGAGGCTCAAAATTGTAATTCAGATCATCGGGAGCAATCGTTATTGGTGTTCTAGCTGGGACAACACCTATCTGTGTTTGCATCACCCATTGATTGTGCAATTTATACATAGGTCCAAAGTCATTTGAGCAATCAACTATTGATCCAATTTTTACCAATATCCTACTCCGTGGTGACATATACTTTGTTATGTTGTTGTGTGAAATGACAAGCTTATTGTAGCAATGGTTTAGTTTTTTCTGCTCAAGCTCAACTAGAACAGGGCTACGCTTTGCAACATATGTAACTTCACCCCTGACGACTGCAGTATATCCGGGCTCATGGAAGTAAGCAAATACATATTGGATTGGTGATATATTCGCAATAGCCATAATGTTGCTTGTAATTCTATTTTGGCTCAGACACCTATCCTTCTCAAATAGCCAAAATAACTGGTTGACTTGATTCTTTGTATGCCTTAGGGAGTAAACAATCTTCGAATTTATATAGTTGACCATGCTAACTGACTTAGGGTCAACAACTCTGAGCTCAGGAAATGGAGGAGAAATCTCAGTGGTCATTGTAACAAAAAGTCTAAGGTATTCTGTGTAAAATGACTTGAATCCACAAATACTTGTCTTTTTTGATTCAAGTTTGATCTGAAAGTTATCATTTTGTCCTCCTGATGCAACTGTCACTAAATGAGCCAAACCCCTATAAAGAACCGCTTGGTTTGCTACATCGCTAATGCACCTCGGAACTGGTAGTGTCCAGTACAACCAGCCATAGTCGGCTTGCTCACATGACTCACGAGCTAATTCACATCTAATACCATTAGGGAATATAACAACTTTCTCTTCGAAATCCACAGTTGCCTTTACGGATGAGAAGGTAATTTTATTTTGAGGCTTGTATACTTCACTACACGTTCCCAATGCTTTCCTCCGTAGTTCAGATCTCCTCCTGGGTAACAACTCCCATCTGCAGAGTAACCCCCATAGCTTACAAATGATTCCTCATACGAACCTACATCTGGAAATTGAAATGTAGTAGAAGGTGCAAAAGGAACTCTATAGGATCGTTGGTGGACAAGCCTTTGTCATTCTTCATTCTCAATCTTGACCACTTGTGAATAGAAGCCTACCACACTATCATCTCCCAACCACTTGCCGCATCTCGTTAATACATGAGATGCTTGAACTGAGCAGCGATAAACTAGAAGGTCTTCCTGGCTTGATGTTTGAGTTATTATAACTTGGATATCTTGCACCGAAGGAGAGGTGTTGTTGCGCACACAACTTGGTATATCAATTAAGGATATTGTTGTCTTGTTTACTTGCTCGCCTTCACAATCATATGCAACAATTGCAGTGGTCCTAGATACGAACAACATGGTTAACAGTATTTTAAACATGGTATACAGGGGAGACATCTTCTAAACTTTGTATGTAAATATATAAGCTGGTTACAACCTTAACAATCGATGTGAATGTTAACTGTTTTAGCTTCCTTCAGATTCTCCGGATCTCATAGCCAGCCGTAATCTATAATTAGAGTGTATCATAGCCACGGCTGTTCGTTGCCCGCTCGGTTGTTTTACCGAGGATTCACCTCGCTTTCCTGCACAATCAACCTGCACGAGTTACCAGTTAAGAATTTCCTTCCACTGATTTGGAAAAAAATCTTTTAGGAGCTTTAACTCCGTATTTATTCACTGATCACTTAAGACTAATTACATTTTTATTCTTATGCTACCAAGAAGGTTCTCTATCTGATGAATACGTAGTATGTTTATGTTTACGCTCCGGTGCTGGCTGTTGTAGGGTGGTCACAAGCTCTCGTTGGGATGTGATGATATCAGCAACTGATTATGATTGTTTATCCGGTGCATCCGGCGGTTCGGCGTGAGAAGTAAACACTTCGATCGTTCGATGGATTGGCGTGTGAATATGCTGAGCTTGTAAATCGCGTCGTCCGTTTAATAACTGCGTCGTCCGTTTCTAACTCCTCCCCTCTTAAGTGACTTTGTCCTCAAAGTTCACATGTAGATGGTTCGTAACGGTATCGGGGCATCCGAAAATGTTTGTAGTTCTTTCTTTTTTGCAGTTGATAATTCTTCTGCTATCAATTGATAATGATGATGGTTCTGGGTCTTTAATAACGATGGTTTCAATATTTTTGTCGAACTTTACTGCGACGGTTTTTGTACTCTTGCTTCTGGAAATGTAGTAAAGAATTGAAATTATGCTGATGATAATATAGAAAATCCAGATATTCCGAAGAGATTGAATTTCCAATTAAGGGAATTGTTTTGTAGCTTCAAATGTTCCAATGCATTTCGATGTTTCAATGTCAGGTTTTGTAGATATTCTGCTGGTGGATCATCTCTGGTAAGAGTTTCATTTACTAGTAGTCCTGTAGTTGGATAATAAGGTCTTCCAGGTATGGTGATCTCATGATTAACATACGGTTCTCCGTTGATGTGTAAATCACATTGTTTGAATTGAATTATAAATGATCCGTTGAGTAGTTGACTTGAATTGGTGCAATTTGTTGATACACTTGCTATGGCGTCATTAATTAGAATTGTTCCTTGGTTTATCCTTTTTATTAGTCCTTTAGAATAAACCTTCTTTCTCCATCAAGCTGCGCCCATAAAAGTTTGGTGTTTTGCAAAATAGTCCACCAGCCGCGTAACAATGTTAATTGCAATGCGATTGTCACTGTTGCCACAATATATGCTTTCGCTGGCATAACCTCCCGATTTCCATCAACTTCTTGAGCACAGAGGTTTTTTTTTGTCTTACTTTTCCGTGGTCAGTCCATTCAGCTTGAACAACTTATCAGCCCGCTTCACAACTTCATTATTTAATCTTCGCTGAATCTCAGCCCACAGGCTTAAAACGAGTTGCAAGATCACTCCCGCCGACGAAAACCACAAAATTGTCACTATTGTATCCAGTCTCGCAGAGTGCTCAGTTTGCGTATTCACTATCTCGATATGGTTATCACCGTTGTGCTGGACTTAAGCTTTGGATTCTTCAGAACCCATTTTTTTTTAATATCGAATTTTCAGCACTTAGAAAACTGAGTGTCTTCACTCTTTTTTTGAAATTTTTGAACACTTGCCACTTTTTGGAACTTTGTTCACTTTAAACTGGCCGAACATTGCATGTTCTATTGTCAGTTCGCCATGAAACGGTCGGGAGTTTCTCTTTCAGAAGAAACACTTCTTCACTCGTCTAGAGTACAACTTCAATTCTATTTCTTCATCAGTTTTCATTACATTCAAACTTAACTCTACATTGAAAATCTTAACTCTATACAACATTTATTCTATGGGAGGAGCTTGGACTCACTTTTGTAAAGACGATAGCCAATCGTCATTGAATAGTCTATTTGTTCAACATGTGTTGTGGAATCGGACCACCAATACGCGCGACATGTATCTTTTCTGCACGGGTGGCATTTTGCTGGTTTTGCTTTTATTTTGAAGTGGTAAAGTCCATATTATGGTTTGGAAGAAATAACATGTTTATGCAAACATGTGAATGCAATAAATTTGAAATGAGGTCTGTTGTGAAATTTGGCTGAGCATGCACTTGCGAGTGTTGGCCACTCACAAGTGTCTTATTGTAATTTATGACTTGAGATATGAAATGAACTGTAAATGATTATTTTGGAATAGTACAGAGGTTGAGGTATTTCATTTCGTGGCCCAAATGTTTCTTCGTAATTTTTTGGTCTTGCCAAACTTTTACGGAATTCCATGTTTTGGAATGTTATACAGTATGCATATGCTGTTGGTAATGAATCAACATTATCATTCTTTAGGAATTTTCCAACTTCTCCATCTAAACCTCTGATGAAAGCATCAACGGCTTTTCGATTATATAATGATAATATAGATTTTGCAGCTTCTGGATGAGCAAACTGATCATCTGTAGCTACACAATTTGAGATTAATGAGAGAATCTTGTTAATTTCATTATAAAATTCTTCCATCGATCTTCCTTTCTGGCAACTATAAGAAAGCTGGTAATCTAATGTTCCTAAATCTCTCTTCTCTCCGTAATATGTCACCAATGTTCTCTTGATCAGGTTCCAATTCATGTTCACATTAGATGATACTAAAGCATCGTTTGCTTCACCTCTGATTTTTCGCCTGATTGTTTTACATATTACATGAAACGAGATCCGGATTTTTTTCTATGGAATCTGGATTTACAGGTATGCCATTAACATCTGTCAAATACAATGGTGGATCTGAAATGTCTGTTTCAGCTGAGGGTGCAGAAGCAACCTCCAGAGCCGAAATACGATTCAAAATTTCTGCCAACTGGTTTTGATCCATGTTGATATTAATTCTTGAAAATTGTGCAATTAAGGCTTCAATTTTTTACAAAATTCTTATAAAAAAAAATTCACAAATATTTCAGCTCTTCACTTTACACTTGAAGAATTCACTTTCATTTACACTTCACTTTCACTTTGATTGATTTATACTTATTATACTTTTCTTACAGAACTACTTCAAAACGCGAAACTTAAATGCTAGTTTTGAAATTCACTTGACTTAATTGAAACAAATTTCACTTTATAATTTCTTTTATATTTTTCACTTTCTGTGATATATTTTGTTCTTTCTGTGTCAATACTTACAAATAAATTCCAAACATCATACGGGAATGCCGTACAATTGCGGGATTTGTAGCCTCAACTCCTTGAGCCTCTGACGGAAAGAATGATGAAGGGCGGGATCGCGTGCTTGGTGATTGAATCCTATTAACTCCCTTTGGTGTTACCAGCAACTGCCGGGTGCATCGAGACAAGCTGGTTTGGAACCGGATGCGCCTTCCAATTGATACCGGTGTGGCGGCAAGTTCCTTTCTCTCCGCACGAATCCTCTAACGGTCGTGGTTACTCAGGGGCCAACTCCACACGGCTGCTATGTAGCGGTCACAATTGGCTTCAGATAATCTCGGATGAAGATTATCAAGATGTCACGAACTCTAACGTGGTGCACTTCTTGACTTGTCTCTTCCGAACTTTTCCTAATTGCGCTTAACCGGTCCCTATTTCGGGCGCCAGTTAAGAATTTCCTTCAACTGATTTGAAAAAAAAATCTTTTGGGAGCTTTAACTCCGTATTTATTCACTGATCACTTAAGACTAATTACATTTTTATTCTTATGCTACCAAAAAGGTTCTCTATCTGATGAATACGTAGTATGTTTATGTTTACGCTCCGGTGCTGGCTGTTGTAGGGTGGTCACAAGCTCTCGTTGGGATGTGATGATATCAGCAACTGATTATGATTGTTTATCCGGTGCATCCGGCGGTTCAGCGTGAGAAGTAAACACTTCGATCGTTCGATGGATTGGCGTGTGAATATGCTGAGCTTGTAAATTGCGTCGTCCGTTTAATAACTGCGTCGTCCGTTTCTAACTTACCGCAACGATGTAATATGGGGGCCTTTTCCACCGATTAAATCGCCTTTCGATTTCTCAGGCATGCAGCTCCGATCCCTCAGGTTCCTCTTTCACGAGTAAAGGAGTCTACACACACAACCATGCTCATCCCGTACGGGACGGAATCGACGGCGGTAAGAGAGAGAACCAACTAGTAGGGTAAGGTGGGGTACGATGGGTCTTAGTCTGTATCTTGGGGTCAATATGACTCCAGGCAATTTTTGCAATCTTGATTATTGATCAATCATTTTCTCTGACATTGTTGTATGCTTAAACCTTAAGAATTCCATAAGACATGACTTATGAACCTGGACAATTTTGATTTCATAAGATACTTATGAATTCCATAGGCATGAGTTATGTATTTCATAAGCACGACTTAGGAATGATTATCGTAATATATGGGGTACTACGAGTGATTCTTATACACCTTTAACCAATTCTATTTCCCAAGCATTGATATACGTGGGAACAAATCACGGAGTCAATAATCTGAACGCTTAGGATTCGATTCCGGTCTGCTACATTTTACATTACTGCTTTTAAATTGGATAAGCTAACCTATGAATTTTGTTTCATAAGCCAAACTTTCCATAAGAAATCCTTTTGTTAAAATTTCATTAGTTGTTCTTATGGAATTCTAACGTTCCTTAACCATCATCTGAAAGGGCTTCGTTTTCTGAGCACAACAGTATTTTTTTCAATCAATCAAAATATCCACTTCATTGTTTGACGCAAAACTAACAAATTGACAGCTCGCTCCCATACAAAATAACACTGAGGGGCGCGAAGATGGTGATCGCACTTATTTAAAATAGTTCCAGTGCTCCAAAACAGATGCAATTTTGAATTTCGGTTCCATTTGATATGCAGATTACGAATATGCAATTACTTCAATACCCCTCCTAAAGAACCCCTATTGCGACTCCTCGGTCCTCGTTTACCTCTTTCGAAAGTGAAGTTATACAAATTCCACATAAAGAACATAACGTGCCTTGAGAACCGCTTACATCAGCATCACCATCAATTCATGTTCTATTTGGTAGGACTAACTTCGTCTGTGCTTCACCCTCGCTTCGGGACGCTTTCTACGGATGATCTCTTCTTCCTCTTTGGTGTGTGACCAAATTTCTGTTGATATCGGCTTCTGATGACAACGAAGATGCAGCTCGGCATTCGAAGTCCAGTGTATAAGTCGTTACCGTTCGGTCAGTTCGTAGTCTTCCATTGTTTGTTTCTGTAACGGTTATTCTTCCGGTCATTAAAATAGCATGCAGTATTGATGATTGAGCAACAAAAAAAAAATCATCTCTCCTAAACTGTAGCTCCGATAAAAATCTTCACGTTGTGTGTTGGGCATTCGTCATATGCAGCGCTGGAAAAGTTGGCGAAATTTCAACATGTTCACTAAGGGAAAAGCTCGCGAGACAAAGTGAATTTTCGTGAACTTTTCCAGCACTGGTCGTAAAGGGTGAACCTGAAATTATTGCAACACATTTTTTGCTCTCAATTTTCACGTATTTATCAGATAAAAACCAAATTTGTAGGGTGGTGTGGATTTATTTCCTGCACTTCGCGTTCCGTTTCGCGACGGTGCCATTCCAGCGCGGCCTTTACACGCGTACCGTGGACTTTTCTCAATTCGATTTCGACTAGAGTCGAAATGAAAACACGGTAGGTACTTTTTAGAGTATCTGGTATTCAAACCGGAGTAGACCAGTTGAGCCAGACTCTGTGATAGACTGAGCCTGACTGAGCCTTTTTAATTTGGTAATTTTGGTTTATATACACTTTTCGTATATAATGCATGAGGGAGACAACTGGAGCGACAATTGAAGTTTATATTGCTTAATCAGCAATATCGATTATTAAGTGCGCCCGGGCAGCTCGTCATTTGGGACGACAGGTACAAAATACAAAAGGCACTCGAAATTGCATGGTTGCAGTTTTGAGGTGATATGTACATTGACTCTGCTGCATGAACGGTTGGATGTTTGTTTTTGGTATGAAATTTAGGGATGCCTACTTAGACACATTACGGTGTTTCTATACAAGTATTTAGCTCAATATGCATACATTGGATCAATTTTTGGTAAATTGTCCGACAGTTTTGCTTCAAGCCGTCCATAAGAGCTAGTACCACCGACGAACCGACGTGACAATTTGACAATCCTGTGGCATGTCGGTTCGTCGGTGCTTGTACAGTCGTAACCGGTACCTTTTCTCATTTTTTATCCTTTAATTTCTCCTTGGTCTTTCTGAGTTCCCGCTTCATCATGGCCCCATAGGTTTTGATTGTGCGTAGTTCTGGACAGTTCGGTGGTCTCGTCGGTGGATTCATGTCCTTGGGGACAAAATGAAGCTAAGTCCAGCCAAAACAATGGCCTGCTATAAATTAAACTCGAGTTTTGTTTCTCTCATACAAACGTATTCAACGCTTCGTTTCTATAACGCCTAGCTAGATAATCAGCAAGAAACGAAAATGAAAAGCTGGCTGTGGATTTTCTCGTCGTTGCTTTGCTTATCGCTTTCATTTAATCCATTACTGAATCAAGAATACGCAAAAATTCAACTTTCTTAAAAACTGTTTGACCCCTAGTTACAGAGGGGCTTCTAGAATTTCTCTATGGCTACACAATAAAAAGTTTTGGAGAACCTCGTGTGAACCAATTTCAGCGAGAATTGTTCTTGTATTAACTTATTGCAATTCACGAGCCTTTGCCGATGTCTCTCTAGTCAACTCGTCTAGGGTCATCTAACCTTCCCAACCCAGATGGTTTTTCGTAGTTTTATTTTTTTTAAATGTGGTAGAATAAAATATGTTCCATACACCCTAGTACATGGGAAGGAGAGGGCTAATGTCCTAGAATTGAGCTTCCATTCATTGTCCTCATTTCGCTACCGGGTCGGTTACCGAAAAATTCCGTTTCTTTTGTTTATTTGTACATTGAAAAATTCAACTGACAATTATTATCTAAATGAATAAAACTTAAACTAAATAGTTACGGGCAACGGAACGGAAAAGACCAAGTAACCGATGGCGAATCACGTCAACTGATACATTGAAGTCGAATATATAAAAGAAGTTGTTGAATTGCCAGCTGATTGCCCGAATTGGCTCGTGTTGTGTATAATTTCGGTGTCGTGGTTCCAAAAACAGAAAGTCGCGTTGACGAAGAGGCCTCTCAGGGACATACATATTTAGCTGAGCCAGCAGTGTTGGACTATCAATGTCTCCCGTAAGCAGCTTTCCAGCGAACATAGCTTGAGCGACCACCCGTCCCACCTCTAATTGTTCGATTCCCAGGAGACAACAACGCTCCTTGTACGGTGGCAAGTTTGTTGGGTCACGCCAGTTGAGGAAACGAAGAGAATATCTCACAAACTTGCGTTGAATGAATCCGTAGTGATCCAGTTAGCATGGAAAGGGTACCAAACAACTAAACTTGACTCCGATAAGGATCGCACAAGCGAGCAGTAGAGTGACCTGAGGCATAGCGGGTCACGGAACTCGTCGATTAGCTCTGGAGATGAGTTGTCATTGTAGTGGATTCTGAAAGTGAGTCTGCAGTCCAAGGTAACGCCGAGATCCTTTATGTGCTCTACACGAGCAAGACAGCGTCCGTAGAGAACATAGTCAAACATGATTGGTTCAATTTTTCGTTAATAAGAAATAATGTTACATTTTTCGATGCTCATCATCAAATTTCTTGAGCACCAGTCAGCAAAAATACCAAACATATTCTGGAGATCCCAACAGTCCGAGAGACTTTTAATAATTTTGTAGGTTTTCGTACCGTCTGCATCGAAAACGCGGCATCCTGATGGTATCAGAAAGGCGACGTCGTTTAAAAAGATCGAAAACAGTAGCGGTCCTAGGTTACTGCCTTGCGGAACTCTCGAGTTGTTTGAGAAAACATCCGATTCCGACGCACCAATCTTAACCCGTACATAGCGAATCACCAAGTAAGATCTGAACCCATCCACAGCCGTTGACGAGACGCCAAGTATCTCCAGCTTGCCAAGCAAGATATTAAGGTCCACCGTGTCAAATGCAGCTTTCTTATTTCATCTAAGTTTTTCTGAGTAGCATGCTAAACTAACGCAATCATGTCGAGTCCCATCGCTTAGGTTTAGGCTTTTCTAATTCACAAGGCAAACACTGTTTGAGCCACACCTCCAGGCGCTCGGGAGTCATACCGTCTCACGTTCCTCAAAGTTGAGCGTACAGCTCTCCGTACATTTCAGAAAAAAACAGCTGTACGAGCACAACTTGAAAATATACATTTCTCGCGTCACTTTTTAAAAGGTCCTAAGTAACAAATGTAAACAAGTAGAGTTAAGCGATATAACCTATTGCTCTTATATCATTGTATGTGATACAAAAACACCTATCTAAATTTACTTTCATTTATTTAAGACAATCATACACTACCGATCGTAAGTTTAAGGACACCCCCAAAAAACCATGCAAATATGTTTTGTTCAATGATCTGTCATTTTAACGTTCAATTTTCGATCTCCAAAGGTCATTGGAATGGTATGAATGGTATAGCATAAGTGTTCTACTACTACTTTTATTTCAAAATTTGGCCAACCCAATTCTGAGAAAATCAGTCACGATTCTTCAGAGTAAATTTTGAAAAATATTGTAACTTTGGGTAAACTTTTAGTACACAAACATTGAAAATCATATTGAACAATTTGCCTACGAGGAAAGTTCCATTCAATACCTTTCAAATGATCTAAAGAGAACGAAAATTGGACGTAACATGACAGAGATAAGAAACATAACAAATTTGTCATGTTTTTTTGGGGGTGTCCTTAAACTTATCATCGGGAGTGTAGGTCAAACATTGTCCAATGTACAGTTTGAAATGATGGCTACATGATTGTTACTTCGGTCATTCGGACTGCCTAACGTGATTGGTGCTCATGGTCTAAAGGCGGAGCCAATCTAAAGTTAGGTATTCTACTCTGAAATCTGTGAAAGGGAATCTAGTATCATGTAGAACAAAACGTCCAATGTAACACTCATTGATTATTTCATTGATAAAAATCGTCCAATGTAACATGTCCGATGTACAACTTGACGAGTCAAAACGTCCTATGTGGTTTTTTTTTCTATATTGTAGTATGAAATTCAAAGTTAAATTGTGATTTTACGTATGAACGTAATGAACGTTGCTCGTTCATTATTATAATTTTGTTAGTTGTAATCTACTGCTGACTGCAACTGAATTTAATCGAGAAACGAAGGTAGCAGCACACGGCAAGTTCCATACTTCAAAGACTATCATTTACGCAAACGTACAACTTCCACTACTCACAAACACACATACTCATACACACACACACAAACAAACGTATTGACTCAGATGGGGAAAAAATGCAAGAGCAAAAGGAAACCGTTAGACTAAACGATGAATCAACATCGCTAAAAAGAAGAAAACAGAAAAAAAACATCATCACTTCATTCACAAATTCAGCAGCAAATAAACAGAAAAAGGTAAAACTGTTAAAAAAAAGATGTGTAAGAAAGTTGAAACAAGAGACAGTAGGCTAATTTTAGGCAAATTTTTGGTACATTTGGAGATAGGGAAATGAAAAATAAGTTTCCCAAGCAGAAAAAAAACCGAATAAAAACTTCTTAGATCGTATATTGGTGTCAATCAAAATTGACTATAAAAATTTAGAGATAATGGAAAAAAAAAAACTATCGTAAGGGAGCCAGTTCTGGTCCGCTGTAGGTCAAGTGAAAAACACGCATGTATTGGCTATTTTTTCAGTTAAGTTTTTCCTTTTGTTTTCGACTGTTTTGGCAAACTGGAGTGAGTGATACTACACAGCAAGTCGTCTGAGTTGGCTTTCCCAGGAGGCATCAAAAACAACAATGAACGACAACAAGGACAAAAACAGAAACACACACACGCACGTTTGTTCAAAGACAAAAAAAAAATGGTGTTGAAATCCTAAATTAGGGCTTTAGATATAAAGTGGTATTTTTTAAGTATGCTGGACATTGGTAAATTCAGAAAACAGAAACAAAAAAAACCTCTATTCTAACAGCTACCACAGAGAGAACAGAGAGAAGAAAACACTTAAACACACTAAAACAAAACAAAAGAACGATAACAAGAAGAGAATTAAACCGGAAACACTGTGTTCAATTTACGACTCTGAATTCATACATTGATATTGATCAGCTTTACTTTTATTGTAACAGGTAAAATAAAAGAAAATGCAAAATA